ATCGTGACTACAATCATGGTGCTATTATAAGGATTTATATGGGTATAAACAAGGTGCTGTTGCTCCTGAACGAACATGGGGACCCCTCATTTTTAATTCAAAATTTAAGTTCCTGTAATATGAACAATCAATAGGCAAAGTTTCACAGAAGTCTCAGGGCAGGTTCTATTTCAGTGGAATGACCTTAATCTTTAACACTCCTACACTTCTAGGAGTCTTGACATATGCAGGTTTAAACGACTGAACTTTAACTGCAGATGAAAATTTATGCAAATCCAATGAAAGTTACAAAATGTGATACAAGATTCTCATTTTACATTGCCGCTGACATTTTTACTGGAAAAATTTTCAAAGTTGACTGTACTCTTCATCCAAAGTCAATATTTTGCTTAAAGAATTCAGATATAAACTATTTTTTGTCTTAGTTACTCGTAGTTGTGATTCAAAAGCTAATCAAAGTCAAATTTTTGCATCAATCAATTTCTTCAGCGCTGTGTCTATTCCAAGAGCTCTCCCTCTGCTGCTGCTGTCCGTGTAACTTGGACATGATTGATGAACATACCCTTTGCATATCTTGCTCCTTTTCCTGATATTCTTCTTTCTCTGCCAGAGAATTCCTGTCTAACCAGTCAATGACCTCTATGGCCTTACTCTTCGCCGTGTCTATCTCAGCGGAGCATAGCTTGCTCTCAGCGCTTGAATCTTCCACTGCGTGTTTGACGCTGAAGGCGTAGTTCTCCAAGCTGTTTCTTGCAGCGATCGTTTCTCGTTGCCTCTCGTCTTCTTCCTTGTATTTCCTAGCATCAGCTACCATGCGGTCAATGTCTGCTTTGGATAGCCTTCCCTTGTCGTTGGTGATGGTGATATTGTTGCTCTTTCCAGTGCTCTGGTCCTTGGCGGACACGTTTAAGATCCCGTTGGTGTCGACATCGAAAGAGACTTCGATCTTCGGCACGCCGCGCGGTGCAGGGGGGATTCCCGACAGATCAAATCGTCCCAGCTGATTGTTGTATTTGGTCAAAACTCGCTCTCCTTCAAACACCTGAATGGAGACGGCTGTTTGGTTATCTGAGTAGGTTGAGAACTCTTTTGAAACGTTGGTTGGAATTCGGGCATTGCGTTCAATTAGGTTGGTCATCACTCCACCAGCGGTTTCAATTCCGAGACTTAGCGGTGCAACATCGAGCAACAAGACGTCCTTGATTTCTGAACTCTGGTCACCGGATAAAATTGCGGCCTGGATTGCGGCACCATATGCCACCGCCTCGTCTGGGTTGATCGACTTGCTCAACTGTTTGTCACTGAAGAATTCTGCAAGGAGTTGCTGTACCTTTGGGATTCTTGTAGAACCTCCAACCAGAACCACCTCGTGGATCTTGGATTTGTCAAGCTGTGAATCAGTGAGTGCCTGTTTCACTGGTTCCAGACATGAACGGAAGAGATCCAGACAGAGTTCCTCAAATTTCGCGCGGGTAATCCTGGAGTAGAAATCAATACCATCGGACAGTGAGTCGATCTCGATATTGGCCTGAGTACTGGACGACAGGGTTCTCTTGGCTCGTTCACAAGCGGTTTTCAGGCGGCGTAAGGCTCTTGGGTTGTCCTTGAGATCTTTCTTGAACTTGCGCTTGAATTCTTCCACGAAGTGATCCACAACGCGATTGTCGAAATCTTCTCCACCGAGATGTGTGTTGCCGGCTGTGGACTGTACCTCAAAGAACGATCCTTCGTCTATTGTCAGTACAGAGACGTCAAAGGTTCCTCCACCGAGATCGAAAATCAGGACGTTCTTTTCCCCGCTGAGGTTCTTTTCCAATCCGTACGCGACAGCGGCAGCCGTGGGTTCATTGATGATTCTCTTGACATTCAGCCCCGCTATTAGTCCAGCGTCTTTAGTGGCCTGTCGCTGTGAATCGTTGAAATATGCTGGCACTGTGATGACTGCGTCCGTCACTGTCTCGCCCAAGTAAGCTTCAGCTATCTCTTTCATTTTCGTCAGAACCATGGAGCTGATTTCTTCTGGAGTAAAACTTTTCCACCCCTCGTTGGTCTCTACTCGGATTTTAGGTTTCCCGGCCTCGTTGATGACTTGGAAAGGCCAATTACTTCTGTCCGCTTGAACATCAGGGTCGTCAAACTTCCTGCCGATTAGTCTCTTGGCATCAAAGACAGTGTTGCTTGGGTTCAATGTTGCTTGGTTCTTGGCTGCGTCGCCGATCATACGTTCCGTTTCCGAAAAAGCAACATAGCTGGGAGTTGTTCTGTTACCTTGATCGTTGGCGATAATTTCAACTTTACCATGTTGAAAGACTCCAACACAGGAATAAGTCGTTCCAAGATCGATTCCGATCGCTGGAGCTGTCTTGACTGACATCTTCGGTAGCTTCTGAGAAAATCCTCTTGTATTTCTTCTTGCTCAGTAAACTTTTAGTTTCGGTAAAATTTGCCTGCGTCGTGAAACTGGCCTGTATATATACCCCAGTTTTAAAAGTACCCCACATCACGTTTCCAAAAATAGAAAAGTGCTGACTTCATTTTCCTCGGAATGTGCCAATGAAAATGCTTTTATTTTGGGTAAGAAACATCTAGAATATTCTACAATTCGTATTCTTGAACATTTTGTCGATTTTACACAGCTCTAGATACTCCTAAATTTTTGTAGAATGATCTCGTTTTAGGAACCGACATAATCCACGCGGTTCTTCGCGGTTCTTGGTTTCGCGAAATTTCCCCTCGTCCCAAGCTCTCTCGGGACTCTTCTGAGCCTCCCGTTAGAACTTGTTTGACCAGCCGCTGCACTTGAAATTCAATATGGCGGCCGCGAAGTTGTCTTTGTTAGTGCTTGGAATATTAGTTCATATTATCTATCTAGCCTCTATTTTCGATATTTATTTTACTTCTCCTCTTGTTCATGGTATGACGCCTTATAAATCAACTCTCAAACCTCCAGCAAAAAGGCTGGTTCTGTTTGTTGCTGACGGGTTGAGAGCGGACAAATTCTATGAACTTGATCAACACGGAAAAACTCGCGCGCCGTATCTCAGAAGTTTGATCGAGAAAAAAGGCAGCTGGGGCGTGTCACACACACGAGTTCCTACAGAATCTCGGCCTGGACATGTTGCTCTTATCGCTGGATTTTATGAGGATGTTAGCGCTGTGGCGAAAGGTTTGTTAAGGAAGCTATAAAACGAACTATCCATATTGGCTCTAGCGTAGGGCTGGGCATTGTATCGAAAACGAAGCAATCGAAAAGGAAGACCTAAGCATGATGTACCCAGAACACGAAAACGAAGCATCCAGAACTCGAAAATGACAATCATGTCCAGAAATGATTTGTACATCAATCGCAAAAAATAACGAAAATAACAAGGTTTCGTGCTAGCTAACGTGACTAAAATAACAAATTGAACAAAGTTTTCATTGTACGAACTAACAAATGTATGCGTGTGACGTGAAATAAAAGAGCAATGAAAATAAAAGATAGCCAGCTTGCGTGAAAATAACAAATTACATCTAAAATGCAAATGCTTAAAGGAAGAGTGGCTTACAGACTAATTTAAAAATAACAAAAAAGTTACTTGTAAAATAGCAAATGTATTGAGAATATCAAGCTCAGGCAGAGTTAACAAACCCATGGGTTTCAACCTGTGAAAATTATTTTCAGGAGTCCACAATTTTATCAAAACAATGAGATGTTTTACAATAAAATCACAAATCCAGTAGAGAGATCACATGAAGTGTCAACAGGAAAAGTCATTAATTTGTGTTAGGCTAAAGGTAAAAGATTGTAATGACTTGTCTTGGGCCCATAATCAAAGTAACTTGTTATTTTTGTGGTTGCCTGCATTTCTGGGCAGATAAAAAAAAAAAAAAAAAGTTGCTCAGAACTAAATATTGAAGCACCCAGATTTGACATCAAGCATTCAATAGTGGGTTCTAATGTCACCAGAAATTAATATTTTTGATGTCACCTATGAAAAGAGTGACCAACATAAGGTGAGGGAGTTGATCATCAACCTTTTTGAAAGAAGCCTAAAAATGCCATTATAAAAAGTGCAGGAATGTTTGAACTGGAATGTGATGTAAGAATAATTCAAAGGAAAGAGAGTACTGACAGTCAAACATAAATTAATAAACCTACCCGCTTAATGGCCCATTTTGTCTGTTGAAAAAAATCTTTGATTATGAGTTTCCATGGATAAACTCCTTTCCTTCCCCTTCTAACATTTGTGAACTTCAAAGATATAAACTTGAGCAGACTGTTAGGTACATATATTTCAGCAATATTTTGTTGTGATTTTTATTTTAAACGAGAAATAGTTCTTATGTTCTGACAAATTATTCTGACTTAAACCGTGTTCCTTGTTTTTTGAACTCATTTCAAGTACATTGTCTCCTCTTTCCAGGTTGGAAAGAAAACCCAGTAGAGTTTGACTCTACCTTCAATCAAAGCCGTTACACATGGGCATGGGGAAGCCCTGATATCCTGCCAATGTTTGCCAAAGGAGCCAGCGGGAGCCATGTCTTTACCTCTATGTATAAGAATGTGGAAGAAGACTTTGGAAATGAAGATGCCTCTAAACTCGACACTTGGGTATTTAATGAAGTCAGAGGATTCTTAGGTTCTGCAAGGAAAAATAAGACTTTGAAGAGAATGCTTCATGAAGGGCAAATTGTGTTTTTTCTTCATCTTTTAGGTATGATATCGTTCCTTAACACTGGGTTGTGCAACAGGTCAAAATCCAGAAAGCATCTTCAATGACAATTCAATTCATTTTAAGGAGAGCATTTATTTTGTTTTTCATTTTGTTTTTCAAAACAATAAATGTTACATGTATTTGGAGGTGTCATTGTTGACCATTGAATATGTCCGGTTCAACTTTTGATAGCAGTAGCTTACTGTGTTTTGTTGTCATTTGTTTGTTGGTGGCTTTATCAGGGTTCTCAAGGTTCTCATATGTATATGGCCTATTTTTAGAGAAAGTTTTTGGGAACAAGGAAAAAAAAGCACTTAAAAAGGGTTTAAATGTTCATTTATGTCGATTTTCATAAATCCAGACATATGATACTTAATGCAAAGTGATATTTATAGGAACTGAATCAAGTTGATCATTCAACATGCCAGTTGATCCAAGGGACAGGGTCACACCCATTTTGGTGACATCTTGTGCACCTACTTAATTTTGTTCACACCTTGGCCATCACAATAATGACTAACGGAACAGCAGCAATGATTACAGCAATGGTAACTGTTTAAGTAATCTGTGAGGATAATTTATATAATATGTTTTAATGCAAAACATGTTTTGATAAAAATTTCAGTCACCTCACAGATTGCACTTATGTTCAGTTGTAATCAAACTCACTCTATATTCTTGTTTTGCTTTCTGTTGTAATAAGTATTTCTTATGTTTTCTATATAACCTGGACATGGTTATTTAAAAGTGTAATTTGGTTTTAAAACCAGTGATTAAGTGAGGTCCACTTAAAATGGGATGACATAGCTCTTAAAATAAAAGTGAGCTGTATTTCCTTTTTCATTAACTAGGAATTGACACCAATGGTCATGCCCACAGACCTACATCACAAGAATATGTCAGGAATATTGCTGTGGTTGATGAGGGAATAAAAGAAATGGAGGAATTAATTGAAGAATTTTATGACCATGATGGTCAAACAGCATATGTAATGACAGCTGATCATGGTATGACCAACTGGGGGTCACATGGTGCAGGGCATGCTCATGAGACTCTAACGCCATTAGTAGCTTGGGGAGCTGGTGTACGTGGACCCATGATACCCATTCATGGTGCTGATATTCCAGATGAAACAAGAGAATGGAACCTTGCTTGGCTAAGAAGAACAGATGTCAATCAAGCTGACATTGCACCACTGATGACTTCCTTGATTGGTGGGTTTGTGTGAGCCAGAAAATAGCATAATATTATATTACAGTTTAGATCATAGGAAGTGTCCTTCTTATCCGGAGTTTTCTATGGGGTTAGAAGAAAGCGTGGGAGGTTTGGTGGCCTAATGGTTCACATGCTGGACTCTGGATTGAGCAGTCTAGGTTTGAGCCCTGGCTGGGGTTGTGTTTTTGGGTGATTAATTTTACTCTCACAGTGCCTCTCTCTATCCAAGTGTATAAATGGGTACTGGACATTTTCATGCTGAGGGTTAACCCTGCAATAGACTCTGGCATCTTATCCAGTGGGGAATAGAAATACTCTTAGTGACTTAATGTTACAGAAACTGGGATAAGCTCTAATGTTATGGACCACTTGGCCTGACATGAGCATTACCTTTTGTGGAAAATAGGGAAAAAATGAAAAGGCAAGCGATTTAAAGCTATACAACTAGGCTGAGATAGGCAGGATAACAGCACAAGGTTTTACCCTAAATTGTTTAATTTGCTTTTTAACCCTACTCTGCCTACTGCTAGGGTGTGATAGAAATTGCACTGATTTCAAACTTTGTAATATAATGTATTCAAGCAGTAAAAATGAAACTTCATTTTCCTAAAAGTCATTGGGGAAGACTTAAGCATGTCAATTTTTTCTTGCATGAATTGAGTTTCCATGACAATCATGTTTTAAGGTAGCAAATGTGAGACATCATTTTGGGCAATATGATGTCATAGTAATTGGCATGTGACAGCTGCTAAAATAAATATTTTAGGATATTTTCTGTACAATATAATTTTCAATGCAAGAGCTTTGCTAAAGGGTGGGTCACTTCCCCTCCCCCCACCACGCAAAGCCCAGGCATGATAAGTTTAAAATAAGTTTTTAAGTTGACTTTCTATTTCTTTATGTTAACACTCTGATCCTTCTAACTAACATAACTTGTTTGTTCCTTAGGTGTACCATTCCCTCTGAACTCTGTAGGCATTTTACCAGTGGAATATCTGAACAACACTGAACAGTACATTGCAGAAAACCTCTTTATGAATTCACAACAAATTCTTGCTCAGTACAATGTCAAAGAATTGTTCAGAAAAGAAACATCTCTGTGGTTTTGGCCTTTTACTTTGTTAGCAGGTACTTGAATGCTTGCACTCTAGTTTATATTTGCGAGTTTTAGGAACACTATGGGAAAGCTCTTACCTTTACAGAGAGAAGCACAAGGAAGTGCTCCCAATATTTGTCCATATGGTAGTAGATACACAGGGGAGAGGCTTTTTAATATTCTCTTACCAGCATGCTTTCAAGATAAAGTGTAGGAAGATTGGGGAGAGAAAAATGTAGAGCCTGCGGAGGCTGGGGAGCGAAAAAAGCAAGTGTGTTTGACTCTCTTCCTATAGACCCTTCCTCTTTCTCCAGAAAGATTGTAATGAGCTACTTACAATAGTCATAAATACATTGTCACCTCCATAAGCGGATGCCCCTGGGACAATGTGAAGTGACGCCTTAATAGAGTTGTCCTTTCCATGTCCCCTTGAAGGAGGAGAAAGGCTTCACTTAAAAACAATTTGTCCGATTTTTTTTCTTTTATAGGTGCAAAGAAAACGGGAATGATTCGAGACATAAAAGAGTTCATGCGAGCCAGGAAGTACAATGAAGCTGTTACGCTCAGCAGAGATCTCATAAAGCTTGCGTTGCAAGGACTCAATTACTACCAGAACTACGACAGAGTGTTCTTGAATGTAGTGGTCACTCTTGGCTTTTTGGGATGGATATTTTGCATTGTGCTTCAGATTATCGACGAGCATAGCGACGTCATGAAGGAGGCGTCCAAACTCAACAAGGAAGACTGCCATCCGTTGATAAAAATCTCATTAGTAGACAGCACATCTTGTGTCTTCGCTCTTCTTGTCATTCTTTTGTTGTTGATTCAGAAGGCGCCGTGGATGTATTATAGTTACTGTTTGATGCCGTTGGTGTTTTGGAACCGCATTGGAAAGCGACTGCACGTGATTTATGCTGCATTGGATTATATCCGTGTAAAACAGTTGCGACGTAGAGTGTTGTTTACAGTCTTGTTTGGTGCGTTTTCGTTAGAGATTCTAGTGATGAGCTTCTTCAGGCGAGAGATTCTCTCCGTTGGTCTTGTGTGCCTTGCGTTGTGGCCATTTGCCACCCCGCTGTACTCCAACTGTAGGTGGTCAATGATGTGTTGGACGATCCTTAGCTTTGCTCTCTCTGTGTTTCCTGTTCTTCCCGTGGTCGGACGCGAGGCCAACTACTTCTTAGTAACCCTGGCAGGAGTTTTAACTTTGGCCGCTTTTGCCTCTCTGTTGGTTTATGCCAGTAACATTTCACAGCTACTCAAGACGGAAATAACCAAATCTTTTCAAATACTTCTATCTCAAGCGCTTCTTATAGGCTTTGCGGTTTACATTGTTAACAGTACAGCGTCAAATCTGCAGCGAAAACTTGGTCTTCCAGTGCTGAACCAACTTGGAAGTTGGACGATTTTCCTCTCGTCGTTTTTGCTTCCCCTGATCAACTCCAGCAATTTGACCATCAGATTGTCAAGCATCGCCATCGCGTTTTCCTCAGTATATCTATTGATGAGCACTGCTTACGAAGGCTTGTTTCTGTTAGTCCTCTCGCTGTTGATGGGGGCGTGGCTGCTGTCCGAACATAAACTTTCTGGCAAAACTCTTAACACGTTATTAGAAACACAACTAAGCAGTGATGATGCCACAAAGACCCACCAACCGGCATGGAAGGTTCTAACTAAAGGCATCGATACACAGCTCATTAGAAAGCTCACTTTGGAAGACCTTCGTTGCGCTTATTTCTTTGTCTTCTTCATTGTTGTGGCGTTCTTTGGAACGGGTAACATTGCAAGCATTAACAGTTTTGACCCTGCCTCCGTTTACTGTTTTTTAACAGTATTTTCACCATTTGTCATGGGCAGTCTGCTACTCTGTAAAGTCCTTATTCCCTTTGTGATTGTAGCGTGCGCGTTCGACGCTATACACGTGGTTTTATCGATACCAGTTCAAAGCCTTGTGTTGATAGTGCTTGTCATGACGGATCTAATGGGACTGCACTTCTTTTATCTGGTACAAGATAGCGGCAGCTGGCTCGATATCGGAACAAGCATAAGTCATTATGTGATTATGATGGCGTTCATTATCTTCTTGCTCCCTATATTCGGTTTAGCAAGACTCTTTACCGGCGCCTCTTTATCATTAAGGACGAGCAAGAAGAAAGCTTAACAGAGACAGTGTGTTAAGGACATGTTACGCGAAGCATTTTTTTCTTGCCGCTTGCAACACAACAAACGTTTCTTTGCTTGAAACCTGCAAGTTTTTCGTTGCAAGTTGCAAGAAAAGTCGAGCTATGTAATTATCGAAATTATTTCAGGAAATTGCTGGGTGTGGCACTCGTGTAGTTTTCTTCAGTCGTCAGCATTGTAATTTATTTCCTAGGAAGATATTAATCACAGTTATATTTATAATGGCTCAAAAATTGCCACTGGTTGTATTTCTCTCTATCATAAATAAATAAATATAATCAAATGCTGATCATCAATGCTGTTTGCTTGTATAGAAAACTTCGTGTAAAGACGAACAACACGTGACCGGTGTCATGTGATTACAGAAGAGTAGTGGTTTTGGCCATAAGGTAGTGGCGTACGTTTTCATCAAAGTAACATCAATTATAGAATGTTTGAAATTCCTAGTTTGCCGCTGCTAGCTAGCTGTATCATGGCCGCGTTAATGTTTGCATGTGTCCCATGCCACAACGCCTGTAAAGATTGGTTTCGCTTTTGTGTTTGACTTTTCTTACTTTACGCTTCCCTCCCTCCCTCCCTCCCTCCCTACCTCCCCCCTCCCTCCCTCCCTCGAGGCTTGTTGGAGTCACTGAGACACGAAAACCTCTGTCCGCCAGGCAGAGACTCGGGCAAAGGGAATTCTCAGTTGATGGGGAATGTCAGGGCAATATCGATAGATTTTCAACATCTTCGTCTCAAAATGGATATAATGTGCGCATTCTGGCCTGAAGGAGGGGGCATGTTGTAGGGAGCAAACTACTTTTTAGGGTTGGGCCATTAGAAAAGTCATGGTGGCGGAGGAGAGAGGGAGGGTTCTCGGTTTGGGGAAATGCCAAAAAGAAAATTTTGCGGGAACAAAACTCACTTAAACGAGCAACCCAGAAGCAAATTCTCACAACGCCGGGTAGAAAAGGTATTTTTGCCTTCAGAAGAAGACAAAATCGTTTATGCATGGCCAGACGAAGACGAAAGGTGCGTTCCTTTGGGGTGCTCTGGATCAGGATCAGAAAACCAAGATCATTCTGATCATGGTTTATCAAAAGAACCGACGAATCCACTCTGGTCGCGGATTCCTCTGCTCCTTTGATGCATGATCCGAATGATCCTGACCAGATCACCCCAAAGGAACGCACCCAAAATTAGGCGAGTAGCCCCTGGGCAGAAATGAAGCAATGGTATGATGGACACCATGCAAACTGGGTTTTACAAGTCAGCCAATAGAAAGTCGTCATTCTCACGGCCCAACTTTAGGCTTATTGCACAAAATGGTAGACCGGCTGGCGCCAATACCTATCGTGTCAGCAAAGTAGTCAATATTTACTAAATCTACGAAACAGCTGCTTTCAAATCATGAAGCGTGCCCGGAATCGGGAGCGACTTTTATCCATTCTGGACAATGTTACAGCTGTTAGCACGCGGGTGACCAGTCTTATTCGTTGCAACAAATTCGCTGAAGTCGAGAGTCTACTTGTTCGTCTCCCTCACACTCGAGCATACCAGGATAATGAAGAGATTACTCGCGCAAAAATTGCGCTTGCCTGGCACAATAAAGACGTACAAACGGTTTACAAACTTATAGAGGTAAAACCATGATTGCTTAACGTTTCACATGTAGTTCCCATTTCACTGAAATACAGGTTTCTGGTATGCATGTTTCAATTATCGCCCGAAGATGTTCGTTTCTCTGGAAATTGCTCATTTCTAAAAATTTCATTCGTCATGTAGGAAGGCAAATTCTCTAACGGTGAAGATCTTATTGTGATGTGGGATCAGGCTCATGTTTATGAAGCTAAAGCTAGGACTCCAGTGCAGCGGCATCGCCTGAGACAAAGGTTTGTTGGGAAATATTTGGTTACGTACTGTTCTCAAATGGTAACCGCACTTATCATGGGTAAAATCTTGATGTAATTGAGTGTCAGTAAAAATGCGATCAACTCTTCTATTGACGCTATTATTTCCCTAAATCAGAACGTTCTTGGCCCGTAAAATTCTTTCTCGTTCACTGTAGAAATAAGACACAAGTGGTTCAGGCATTTTTTGTAAGTTTTAATCGCTTCATGCCTTGTCCGTTTCATTAGAGTTTTATTGAGTCTGCTTTATTCATTCATCGTCGCTAAGCGTTAAGAGTCATACAGCAAGAGTTGTTTGGTGCATATTACATCTCCAAAGTGAAGAGTAACATATTTTTTGAGTTTAAGTATCAGATTGCTTGTACATTTTTCGATGAAATTCGTCGCAGTTGGGTTTTTTTCTCTGGGGAAGGACTCACACACAAACTGTTCTATTTTTGAGGCAAGACTTTCAGCATGACTATTTTTGCAGAAACATTTTCCAAAAATTAAGCAATATGACTAGTTGATATGGTGGAGAAAAACACGGACGAAACTGACAGATCCTTCGGCACTTTGGATTTGTACTAATTACATCAATTCAAAGTTTATAAGAATCGGTAAATAGCCAAATCGGCTATGAATTCGAGGTCTTTTTGCAACAAATTATCAACCATATAAATAACTTTTGATTGCGCTTGGCGACAAAAAAGCAGCACGTTTAGGCAGAGTATGCTGACTTGTTTGATATCGCCGGACACGTACATCCTCTCTGACTTTACCGGTATACCGTCTTCAAGACTTCTTCAACAATTGTGGATTTCACACACATTCTGATTACGCAACTGGTTGATAAGATCTTATGTTTGAATTGTCTTCCTTTTGACCTAGAAGTAAAAATAAATCTAGTCCCTCGAGATTGACCCGGTGGTATAGACAACGAAAAAGTCTCGTTTGCGACACGCAGAGACGGCATAAGGTCAGGTCACAGACCAAGATGACAATGATAAAGTGTCAAAAACGGTAAACAAACAACTGAAAAAATGTTTACATTAGAAAGAATTTTACGCCTTTTCCTCCCACATTTACATTTTATACAACAACGCAAATTCCGATCGGCCAAAACTTATATAAACACACATACTAATACTCTGATTGTTATACTTTCTTGACCAATGATACAAGCAGCAAGCTCTTTTTTTTAGGGGCGTTTATAGAACAGAGATGGAAAACGCTGTTCAGATCTTTCTGTTAGCGTTCGCAGCCCGGACTCGTCCCTGGTCTCTTTAGTTTTTCGCGAGAGATATGGGAACAAGTCATGCTGTTATCTCTCCCCGCGCGCGGCGCGCGGGTACCCCTCAACGAGACTGGGTCGATTCAAAGACTTATCTCTTTCACGACCCGTACCTTAGGTTATGCTAGATCTGTAAATTTCCGTCACTAAGCAAATTTCCTTGAGCAAGTGTGACGGGTTAATTCTTTGTAGATTTATGCCACCGCGAAGCATTTGCCCTTCCGGTATTCGCAAAAAGAGAGGAATCCCCAAGGAAACCTGCAATGCATTACAGGCGTGGTTTAAGGAGCACATTGACAATCCATACCCAAATGCAACAGAGAGATTGATGTTGGCAGAGCAACACGGACTTACTTTGGGTCAGGTAATCTTCTCTTTCAGAAAAGTTAAGTGGGAAAGAATAGTGTAATATTCTACTCTGGGTATTATTATTCATGACATGGTAATAAGTTATGGGGAATTGATCTGGCCTGGGACAAGCCCAAGACCAGCGAAAATAGAAGTGGACAGCTAGATCAAGCCCGACTTCTCGTTGGGTGGGAGGGTAAGTCACCAACCGCTTCAATTTTGCGGCCTCGAGTAGAGTGATGTAGTGGAACACGAGTAATTAAATTCCTTTATAATGTCATTTGCTTAATCCCCAGCGTATTAATTACCAATGCAAATTGAGTATACCGAGCTCGCCCCAAGGGTATGATGGACCGTCGTGGTGACGTCCCCTACTATTTTTGTTTCCATCTTGCTGATACCAGTATCCTCATAGCAAGACCTTTCATTTGTTTTTTCGGGTGTTACGTGGATTTTTCCGCCTTTAGTGACACGGAGCAAACACAGAGTTTCTATTTCCAATGAGTCGAGAAGTTCCAGCAGTCTTTTCTCAGTTACGGTGTGTCAGCTCCTGGGTATGTGTAGTCCGATCACCTCCCGTAAGCTATCACTGCACAACATGCTAGAATTTTCCCAGTGAAAACACTACAATCAGACCCTGTTGTGTGTGTGATCAGCTAATTTAAACGAGCAACTCTGGTAAGCGATCGCCACCACTTTCAGAGTGCCAGTTGATGGCAATATAATTCGAAAATCTACAATCTTTTTTATTGTTGCTGTAGCTTAAGAATTGGTTTGCCAATGCCCGAAGACGTCTCCGGAACGACACGCCAGGTGAATGCCCGAAGACTCTCCGGCAAAACCGACGACGATGGAAACCGACGGAAGACGCTACGTCCTCAGTGAACCAATTAGAGGAGAGTTTAGCTTTATCTTTGAGTGGAACCCAGCTGGAACAACCTCTAAGGTATTAAAGAAGTGTGGTACTGTTAACGTTTTACGTTATCAAAAGTCACAGTTCACAAATCGGTTACGAGTGAGGAGATAAAAGTTGGAACAAATTTTAAAATAATGGAAATCGAACAAACAAAACCAGACAATCCAAAGAAAGCGATAAAGCACGTTAAAAAAGGGAAAGATTATTTCTTTGTTCTATGCTCAAAAGAAACAGTCTTCGTTTTTCACTTAAATTTCCAATTGTCGGCCACTTTGCGACAAGAGGATCGCCCTAAGATTCTTCAATGGCGCGCGTCCTTGCGTGAATTTAGCGTATCTGATTGGTAGACATAATGTTATCCGCCTCTTCAGAGGAAACGCCTTAAACTACCCCGTTGCACTATGTTTTCGCGGGAATTTTGCGGATGGGTGATTTTTTTTTTATTTCTCGGGGACTTATTTTTACGCTTGTTTAAGGCTGGCTTTTCTTGCTGGGCATTAATCTTGACGATTTTCAGGAAGTCGCGTTTAATTGGAATGGAAAATTTATTTTTTTATCTGACTACATGCAGTCGATATCATAAGTGAAAGAACATGTAAAGATGTAAAACACGGTAAACGGGTATCACTCAGTATTACAATTACATCTTGTCCTAGTGACTGGTTGCTCCTGTAATGGATCAGCAATAACTATAGTACCAGTTGATGCATTATCACACCTGTAGTTTACCGAGGGCAATTTTATCGTTTTATTTCTAAACGTTTTGATTCTAATTTCATTGTGTTGCCTCTGTAGAAAGAAAAGTTTTAACTAAATGTCACGAAAAAGATTCTACATGTGATTTTTGTATGCATAATTTTGCCAGCGGAGAAAACGGTTGCAGGAACATTTTGTTCAGGTCGTGGAAAAAAACCGTAAACATGGCAAAAATTAGAACCCGCAAAAATTTCGTGTCACACGTTATTTGCCAACAAGCTACATGACTTTAGCAGTAACATTCCGACACGTTTATTTCTGATTGCAGCGTTGACACTAACCTATCGCCTCAAGTGTTGTGGAACAACTTTTTCAACTATCCAGGTGCAAGCTCTGTGATTGGTGGCCCACTGGCACAGTTCGCGCCTTTCGTGGCCACCAGTCCTCCCTATCAGTTGCCTTGGTTACCCAACGTTAGGCTATTGTCCGTGATACCCACCGCAAGATTTCCGACTGGTGTCAATCTCCAAAGTCCTGTTCGCTGGAACAGTCCCACCTGGCAGGGATATGAAGAGTGTATCCAGTCTATCCAGAGTGACGAGTGAATAAAAAGATGTAGTAAATCGGAAGGCTTTTGGCTTTTCATAAATTAGAATGGAGCCTTCTAGTTCATATTCTTTAGTAACCCCATGTAGGGGTCATACAGGACATTTTGTTTCCTAATGTTGTTCACCATTTTTTCCAGTCGCAGTAAACCTCTGTTAAGACGCTTCTCGTAACTGATCGAATTTAGATCCGGTAATTATTTTACTAATCGTTGCAGTCGGTGTTGATCATTCAGAGATTAACTAACAAATTTACAAACTAACGAATTTACAAACTGCTAAGTTAGGGCCGTTCTGGGTCCATTTATAATCTTTCTGTAAGACAGCCTCGGTCGTCAGATTCCGTATTTCTCGGAGGGAACGTAGTTACAGTTAACCTCTAAGTCGTGCAGAAAAGACGAATTTAAACATGCAGTTAGACCAAACGAGAGTTGAATATCGTCACCGTATCTTTTTGTTAGTTGGGTTTTCATCAAGTTATATAAACTAATTTGGTTCATGACATCGGTTTTGTTAAGGGTTTAGATTATGATGACGTCTCCAAACACTTTTTGATATTTATTTCAACATAAAAAAACTGAATGCAAGAACTTAGAGCTTAAATATATGTTAAATTATATCAATTTAAAAGTAATCCTTAAGAAGTAACTTCAGTCTGTAGTAAATCAATTATTTGGTATACCGAGGTATTGGAGTACTTGTTAACGTTAAAACATTGTCGCGTAACTTTTCTGACCATTTTTATTCTTAGTCTGTGAACTTATTACGCTATTGGGCGGAAAGAAAATGGCAGATGGCAGTCATGTGCAATGCAGTAGTCCCCCGGCCCTAGTCGCGCTCGACTCATTCCGCTCACCTTATTATTTCTTCATAGTACTCGGGACAAAAAATGTAAGCGAAAATAGGGCCTCAGCTCGTAGTCAACACACAGCCCGTGCACTCCATGCGCCTTATTAACACCGCCGTACCATAACATGAGAAAGTCTGCGTCTCACTGGTGAGTTTGTACAACAACTGAGCGTACACCGTGGTTTCCTGATCTTGCGACCAAATATGTTTTCTAATATCATTCAAATGCGTAATTGTAATAAAAGCATTGTGCCAGGAATGAAGCTCATTTTCAAGCTCAGCTGGCTTTTCTGGCCTGTGCATCTTCAAAATAAATCTCGGCCAGTGATAAGCTCTCTACCAGCGGCTCTTGGCTACGTCCCTGTGTCCAATACATCTTTTTGTTTTCGGTACGATCCACGAGCTATTCCAAATTAACGCTGACCCTTTGAGGCCCACTATTTTTTCGAAGCGAAGACAGGAGGTTGGGGGCATACAGAGTATAAACAGACGAAAAAAACTGCTTCTGCGACAAAATCTGTTTATTGTTAACGGGGTAATACAATACCAGGTATATATTATCATTGAGACGTATTTAAAATACACTATTAAATAAATATATTAGTTTTAATTTTCTTTAAGGCATCTTAACAATTGATTCTGGTGACAAATTCTTGGTACGTTTGTCGGCAGTAGAAAACAAATCGCAGTACTTTCTGCCTAACAAATACTTTTACAGAATTCGATCAAATTCAAAATGGTCCTTCGCAGTCTTTGATGCACCACAAGGAAGAATTTGGTTTTATCAGTATCAAGACCGTTTTCCCGAGATGATTGTGGCCTTCTTGGATCTGCCACAAAAAAAGGAAGAGACTGAGGGATGGCCGCTTCTCATCTGAAAGCGCGAGAACGTTTGGGAATGAGACAGTAAAAACCAAAAACAAGACAGAAATAGAGACAAAAGAGAGCGAGCAAGGAAAGAAAACTATAACATTGCTTTTCGGCGTTTTCCTCTTTTTCCCGGACTTTCCTCTTTCACTTTTTCGTGCTCCGTCTTGCATCCTTGCTTTCACGCAACTCGTGCGCTCTCGGAGAGAGGCTACGAAGAATGCTCGTAAATAACGTGACCAAACTGGTCCCTTACTCCGTCTCTACACATCTTACCGGTCCTGTTTTTGAAAAAATAACAGTAAGGTAGTCTAATTTTCTTGTATGTATAAGACCTTTTTCTGACAGATCAGTTGTCGTCAAAGTGATTTCGCTACCACCGGGTGTATCGACTTGATTTCCTTGGCGGTCATTGGTAACATGTGATCGTGTTCATCAATAAATTTGGTTGGTGTGACTGTGCAGTATGGCATATGACAGTGTGGTCTGTTGAGTGCCGGATAGTACTGTCTGTAACAAAGATAGGCAAAAAACAGGCCTGCAATAAACAAACAAAGCAACATTTTTGTCATCAAGAATGATTCATAATTTAATTTGATTTTCAACAGACAGAATCGTTATTCTCACACACCACTAGTAGTCACGCCAAGCTGCCTGTCTAAGGTCAGAGGACCTATTCCCAGGCCCTAGTGGTGTGAGAGAAAAATATTTTCCACTAATTCGTTTCCCTGGGCCACTGTAAAGTTACATGCAACTCACCTTGTATTGAGCCAACCGTTATGTCTAGAAAAGGAACAATATAAAAGGAAATCAGATTATAAAGCAAAACAAATATGAGCTAAAACTGGAAAAATGAGTATCTGAAATAGACAGGTTCACGCTCTTAGTTGCATCATGGGTAACCAGGGCAAATTTACAAAGAAGCAAAGTTTTTCTTTATATTTCCGTTCTGTTTTCATATTTGGGGACAAAACAAATACGGTAGATGGAGAAACCCCTTTTCTAGGTTTACCAGTGTTTTTGAGCCGATGAAGTGATTGTTGTGGACGTAGGAATATTTTTACGGTTAAAACCAAAGAATTTGATCAAGTCTTAGCCACTCAAGCCCCATAAATAACATCTCCGTTACTCTGATAAGTAGGCTAATGCCTAGCTCAGTCGACACAAAAACGATAGTAAACGTAGAAAAGGGGTTTCTCTATTTACAGTAAAAGTTTCTTCACGAAAATGAAGCTCGGAGCGGAAATATGAGGAAAAACGTATCTTTTGCCACTTTGTTTCTTTACAATCTTGCCCTGATTACCCATGATGCAACCAAGAGCATGAATCCGTCTATTAACATTACAGTCACACTACCCTTAATGTCATCATATCTACTGTTGGTGGAAACCTCTCCTGTGAGGGTACATGTACTTAGCTTATTACTGGTTAGCCTCAGAAAACAGACTTCTCTTATCTTGCTGTCAGTCTCAACTCCCAAAAACTTCATACCATTGGCTTAGCTGTACAGAGCACCTTACAAGAAAATTCAAAATCAAAGCCTGAACCATTCAGAGAATGACAGATGATTTTTGTTGAAATGCATTATCATTATCAACTTTTTTCAAGTGAAATCTTTATTGTCTCTGCCTCTTTTTTTTTTTTTTCTCGGGGGGGGGGGGGGGNATGACTAACAAGAGGGTCTAGTTGTTCAAATGGACTGATTATATAATCAAGTCACAGTACAGTGGATCACACCTGGAAAGTGATTCATCCAATTATCAGCTGTTTAAACATGGGCGCAACAACAAACAACAAACAAAACTTAAAGAGAACATTTATTGATTCTAGTTTACAGTACCTTGCCAGTGATGACGATAATCTGAGTATCTTGTGAGTGTTATTGCTGAAGCAGTTATAACAGGTGTCAAAGCAACACACAGTTTCCATCCTTGTCCTCTTCCCTGTGCTTGGAAGCAGTGTAACTTTCCCGCAAGATAAAGTGACAAAAAACCCAGGCCACTGAAGGAAACTGCATGTAACAAAATGAACAAAAAATCCGGCTTTCTCTTCTTTACTCAAGTACTCTATATCCATTGATTAATTTGTTAATGGATTGATTCATTGCTGCCTACTGAAGTATAAAACTCTACACTTATATGGATGGTATGATGGTCTAATTAGTTATAAGAATACAAGATTTAAGTTTAGATTTAAAATGAACATCCAGAGATGGAGCAAATGATATCTTCATCTAAGGCGTTAAAATAGCGTTTGGCCTTGATAAGTGGCAGAACATTGCTCTACTGAAGGGTAAGTTATAACTTGATTAACTATAATTTTAAGTGGAAATTCCACACAAACATGAATTCTCCATCATGATTACCTCTCTGTTGTTCATTTCAGTAGGTAAACAATACACCTCTTTGATTGACTTACATGAAGCATGACCACTGGGAAAGCTCTTTCTACCCTCTATTATTTCATCAGGGTCACCATCACACTGTACACTTGCAGGAATAACTCCATTGGGATAACAGCGCCAGAAGTAATCTGGACGAGGCCTGCAGAATTAACCAGGATGAAATTTGTCATTAACTCAAGCCATATTCCACAATTTTGAGTATAAAATACTGCTTTTTTTTAACCTGACATGGACAGGATGCAAAGAGCCTATTTAACCAAAATTAATATAAGGCACTATTCATCATTTCCATCATTTGTCAAAAAAACAAAACTCTGAAAAAACATGAGCAGTACATATTCATTACACAGATACTTAGTGTTGCAGCAGTGCAATATTTTGTTTTTCTCACACACCACTGGGAGCCATGCCAAGCAGAACCACACAGCCTGACCTTTATTAACATAAGAACATAATTGTCTTACAATGACACAAAAAGTGGCTAGAGAATAATTTCAGCTCAACTTAACACATTCTACAAGTACTTCATGGGTGGGTGGGTGGGGCATGTCAGGCAATGGCGGATGGCAAAACAAAAACTGAAACCTTGCACAAGCCACGTGACCTGAAACCCCCCGCACACCTGTACCCAGACTCCCAGCCGTGTGCAAGAAAAACGTTTTCTGCTTCTTTCGTTCCTCAGCCGACGGAAAACCACACTTCTCACCTGCCAACAAGAACTTTTACTATGTTTGTCACAACTCCATTTAATCCAAGAATTAATGTCAAAGCTGTAAAATAATAAACCAAAGTCAAAAGATTCTGATTACGGGAGGTAAAGTAACTGTAAATTATGTACACAGCAATGTATTATTTAAATTTACCAAACAGGGCTTGTATGCCATCAGTCTTGTCTTTTCTCAATACTGCCAGAATAATTATTATAGTAACAGGAATAACTGCTGCAATTACCTGCAAACAAAATAGAAGATGACAGAAGTTATAAGCTGGATTCTATTTATTTACTTAATTAACGTCTAAGACATTTAAACATAAGGGTGTTATGGTTTCCATCTTTGGAGAACACACATCATCTCAGTGTCTTCAAGTGCCAAGAAACATTTCCTGAGGAGAAATAGTTGTACCTTCAGAAATTGTGCCTAAAAGGGTTAACCTAACTCCTTAACCTTTTTAATTAAACTTAGAAACTCTATGACACTGTTATTTCAATACACCTGCATCTTACATAATGGAAACTGATTGCTCTTCCAACAGTGAACTCTCAGCCAATGGAACACTTCAGAATAATAAATAAGTGTGACAAAAAAAATGTATCGACGTAATTTGTGAAAAAGTAACCAAGACTATGTATATTGCCTCTACTAGTGTAGAATGAGTGGAAAAAGGGTAGAAAATAATGTAGGTAAAAAGCAAGTCTCTAATAAGGCAGCCAACCATGTATCTTTGATTCTAGTCAAGATGACACTTACAAATAACAATTCTGTTGAGATTGTGTCCTGGGATTTGGGATTCTTGTATAACCACATCTCTTCATCATGAATGACACGTATAAATGCTGGAGTATATTCCAAAGCCCTGAAGAAGGAACAGAAAATATACACAATCTTAAACAGGCAGTACAGCTCTAGGAAAGATCATACCCACCCCAAGGAAGGTCACTGATACTGGAATTTCCAGAGAAGGTGGCAGGACAGGGTTCAAACACATATTCCCATCTTTATCTATACCCCATCTTCACCCATACCTACAGGGATAGTTATTTTTTAGAATATAATAATATTAAATTTTATTTTCCTTTGAATCCAACAACAGAGGCATTTTAATTTGAGAGTATAGTCAAGCGCTTAGACCTGATATCTGATCACAATGTCAAATTAGTTAGACAACTTTGCAAATTTGGTTGGGCAATGTCCAATGACCAACTGTTATTTGCAGCACTGTGTACACCTTGAACTGTGTTTGGCATAAATTGAGCACTTTAAAATGTGATATCTGATCACAATGATTTCTATGTATATAGATACTTGATACAGATATAGATAATTAAGCACATTAAAATGTGCTCAAGTACATTGTAGAGTTATATAGATGTACTGATCATAAAGAAGACACAACAGCTGGTGCAGCTAGGCTCTTCTTACAATTCTTGAGTGATCCTAAAAATTCACAAGTGCTTCTATACCTCAAAAATGAACCAGGAGCAAGTTGACTATTTTCTTGAAATATTACTTGTGCTGAAACTCATGACGTGTGCACCATGCATAATCTTATCTTTTTTAACGCAAATGCAATAAAACAAAATAAATTAAAAATGAAAATCTTCTAACTTGACAAAGCACACACGTGATGTAAGCTTACATACAGGAAAGGTCATCGACAAAGCAGTGTAAGTATGGAAAAAAGCAGAACTTATAGAACACAAGCTGGCATGATTTATATATACTGGTACTTTGCATCATAGTCAGGTGAACATAATCAAAGTTAGTTTTGGTGAAATAGAATTCAGAATCGATCAATAAGCTTAAATTGACTGTGAGTGAGTAGTTTATACAATAATAACCTCAAGTAATATATTTATGCGGCATGATTTTCATAAAAGACATTTTTATCCTGGGATTACCAAAACGTCTGTAGATGACCGTGCAGACAAAACGATGACCAAAAAGATGGCCAAACCTAAAGAACAAACCTTTCAAACAACCGTGCCTTTGAACAACTTTCTTACACGTCGCCAATATCAAGTTTCACCCAGACTTACATGTAATTCAACACATCCAGTTAGAGAACACCATGTTTCGTGGAAAATTATACTATACATGAAACGAAATCTAACAGGAAAATAAATACTTACATAAATATGGAGAAAAGAATCATTCTTGCTCCAATTTCGGCCAATAAATGACAAGATCCTTGTCTTAATTTGGCCGCCATCTTTGACATATTTTCTTGCGCAATATTCATTTGCGTGAGCGCTGGTCAAATGTGGGTTGTTTTCTTGGGCTCAATTTTTCCTTGTGATTGGTTAGAATTGATCACGTGGAGAAAAGGCCTGTCCGCCATTTTCCATTTTGAACGCAAGTTCATGATTTTGTCCAGTCTAATGGTGTAAATAATCCTTCGATCAAAAACTATGGATCAGTTTGACGTGATAGCAAATCAACCAATAGTTATAGATAACGTATGTGGGATTTATGCCAAGTCCGTTTTATTTCTGGCACGAGAAAAAACTGGCAATGTTCAGGCCTTGTATCGACTTTTTATCAACAAACATGGGTGGTTAACTTTAGGAAGTCGGGACTTCTTTCTTTAATCTTTATTTAAATGTTAATAGGGATCAGGAGTCATCAAGGCCGGATTTGCCGGAGATCAGATTCCCAAGTACCATTTTCCAAACTAGTAAGTAACCTCTTGTTGTTGTCCATACAGTCAATTTTATATTGCATGCTTGAACAATCAATATACGCTTACTTTGAGTTCATTAATTAACAGATTGCATTTATTTGAAATGACGAATTTTTTTGATTTTGCAAATAATTTGACGCGATAATAAGGGTCATTTTTTCCGCTTCAACAAAATCTAATAATTTGTAATTTCAGTATTATTTACCCCCTACCGAGGGTCTGAAAATGATCCAAAATTAAGGCTTTAAATTAAGCTTAAGCTCATTGAACTCATATTTCAACTTATTTAATTTAGTGTCCTTGATATCGCTGGGATGTAGATATCCCAGAATAAAAGGTCCGTTTATATCTGAGTTGCAATTTGTTGGTGGAAAATTCCATTTTTTTTATCTGCACCCCCTATGGAGGGCAAATTCTGACAGCCTAGTTTCTTGTTGTTGGCCCCTTTGAACGGTCAGTCTGGGAAACATGTTAAAAGAAATGACTATGTTAGAAAATATGAAGTTGTGAAAATCTTGTATGGACATTTACATGAAGCATCAGCCAGTAATTAGCTCTGAGTCTGCCTTCTGCCAGGCAGTTGTCCTAAAATATTACATTACTGACTTGATATCCTAACATGAAAAACAGCGTAGAAGGAAATTGGTAACTCTGTATATCTCTGCTGGCTGCCCTGAAGCAACATGTTTAAAAAATCTTGAGGTACATACACTGAACAAAGCATACATTGAAATTTGTGTTTGGTTAGCTGTAACTTAAGCTGCGCTGTAATTTAAATGTAAGGCCTGGACTACCAATGGCCAGTTATTATTGTGTAAATTGATTCTGTAGGAAGATTCTAGATCTTGATCACTCTTGCTTATTTTGTTTACTAGTGTCGGTCGCCCTAAACATATCCGGGTCATGGCTGGGGCCTTGGAAGGGGATATTTTTATTGGACCTAAAGCTGAAGTAAGTGGAATGATTTTCAAAAGACTTGAACCCTGTTAGACTATGTAAGAGTCCTTCTCTTGGGAGAGGATGCATGACCATTGATATGGGAATCTCTTCTCACTAGATAGGAACCTTGCAAACAAGGCCTTTAACTTAGATGTGTTTCTAAATAAAATATGGACACATTGTTGCCGACTATCATTTTAATTACAAGGCTGTGCTCTGAGACAATTTTCAGGGAGCTCTTTGGGCTCCCAACCTTGCCAACTGGGATGCCCTACTCTCCAGGTTGGTTGCCCAATACAATTAATTCATCAATTAATTAATTTATTAATTGAGTGATGACCGATGATCAATCGTGTCTTCAAATCTTTCTCTGGACAGTTCAAATATATGATCTTTCACATATTCACTTGTATTAGTGGTGTTCTGTTGTTCAAATCTTCATGTTATGCTGCCGTCCATGGAGGAGCATGCTTACAAGTTGAATGTTGGCAGGAATAAGATCTGCGACAGATGGGATGGTGTAATCAGTATAATCCCATTGAGTAGACAAAGGTTTTCCTGTTTACTGATTAGTGGTATTTTCCATAGTATGGTATAAAAATGTAGCAGGTCGAGTGGTGTTACGATATTATCTATCACTAGATATTACTTAAATTTCTTTTCATTTGTTGGTCTTGAGCCTCTGGGAAATAACAGTGACTAATATTGTTCTTTGTAGGAACATAGAGGACTCCTAAATATTAAATATCCTATGGAAGTAAGTGAGGTTATTTTTTATCACATTGGATTCATTTAGCCTGCCAAAAATTGGAACCACCAATAAATTCATATAACTTTTATTATTTTGTAGCATGGTGTTGTAAGAGACTGGAATGACATGGAAAGAATATGGCAGGTACTGTAGAGGAATATGGCTCTGTTTTTTTTTTTACTTTTGACTTTTGTTTCATGAAAGACTGACTAACTTCTACTGTCTTTGCCTTTTAAGTATATTTATTCAAAGGATCAGCTACAGACATTTTCAGAAGAGGTAAGCTTATTTAAGGGTCACATACTTGCATTTTAAACACTTTAATGGAACTTCATTCTCAAAGAAAATGTTTGTTTTGCTTTTCCCTCAGCATCCTGTGTTACTGACAGAAGCTCCCCTTAATCCACGGCGAAACAGAGAAAAATCTGCAGAGGTCAGTACTGAGACAAAAAACTGCTCTTTTTGAGAATTATCATTAATTTATTCCATTCCGTGACCAAAATGATTGCTCTTTTTTTCTGATGTA